ACTTTCTGGCCACAGACAATACACTGCCAGCACACAACTACTGTTATTGATTACAGGTTTTTATAACTGGATAACCCTGAAAGCAAGGTATGGTGGTTAATCCCTGGACCCGGTGGGCTTGTTAATTACGTACCGGATGGGGGTGGGGTTTGTGTGTGTAGCAGGTGGGTTTGGTTTCCATGTCTGTGTCTTGTACTTTCACAGTATATCAAGACGGTCTTTTGTCCCTGTGTTTTTGTGTTTATGTCCTGTTTGTGATTATGATTATCAGCTAGTAGGAGCGTTTGCAGTATCGGCAATTGTTATGAGCAGCAAATTTAAAAAAAGGCAAACAAAATTTTAAGTGATAAATTGATGTATTTATATCCTCCTCACATACTCTTTTATGAATGAAAAAAACTGAATATTCATCATTACCTTCTGGGTGTAAGTGTTAGAGATGGTGACACTGATAGTCGGAGGCTGACATCATTGTTTGCCGACTTTTGAGAACAAACAGGGTTCACCACTCATTTGTTCCAGCTAGTATTAGATGCCCATTAATGAACAAATTCTGTGAATGACTTGTCTTTTAGGGGTCAGTAAGTGTATTATGTAGAGGGTACCTGAGAGATCAAGAAATGTTTCGACAAGCGATGTAATAAATATTTTGCATGTATGTTCGGTTTAGGGTAAGACTGAACTATGGAAAGAGTTTTAGTATTGGTGTGGTTTGTTTCCCTGAACTCCTCCTGAACAGCTGACACCATGACATTATCGCTTTCTAACTACGCAAGTTCCAAGACATCTGTTTGTGACACTTGTTTCTAACACTGTTTGTCATACCTGTTTCTTGTACCTGTCTCTTACAGTCTGTCACACCTTCACACCTGTTTGTTATACCTGTCTCTTACACCTGTCTGTCACACCTGTTTGTTATACCTGTATGTTATACCGATCTGTTATAATCTGTAATACCTGTCTGTTATACCTGTCTGTCACACCTGTATGTTATACCTGTCTCTTGTTACAGTCTGTTTTTCCTGTCTGTCACACCTGTCTGTTACACCTGTCAATTATACCTATCTGTTATACCTGTCTCTAGTTACAGTCTGTTTTACCTGTCTGTCACACCTGTCTTTTATACCTGTCTCTAGTTTAGTAGTTACAGTCTGTTTTACCTGTCTGTCACAGCTGTCTGTTATACCTGTCTCAAGTTACAGTCTGTTTTTACCTGTCTGCCACACCTGTCTGTTATACCTGTCTCTAGTTACAGTCTGCTTTTACCTGTCTGTCACAGCTGTCTGTTATACCTGTCTCAAGTTACAGTCTGTTTTTACCTGTCTGCCACACCTGTCTGTTATACCTGTCTCTAGTTACAGTCTGTTTTTACCTGTCTGTCACACCTGTCTGTTATACCTGTCTCTAGTTACAGTCTGTTTTACCTGTCTGTCACACCTGTCTTTTATACCTGTCTCTAGTGTAGTAGTTACAGTCTGTTTTACCTGTCTGTCACCTGTCTGTTATACCTGTCTCTAGTTACAGTCTGTTTTACCTGTCTGTCACACCTGTCTTTTATACCTGTCTCTAGTTTAGTAGTTACAGTCTGTTTTACCTGTCTGTTACACCTGTCTGTTACACCTGTCAATTATACCTATCTGTTATACCTGTCTCTAGTTACAGTCTGTTTTTACCTGTCTGTCACACCTGTCTTTTATACCTGTCTCTAGTTTAGTAGTTACAGTCTGTTTTACCTGTCTGTCACACCTGTCTTTTATACCTGTCTGTTACACCTGTCAATTATACCTGTCTGTTATACCTGTCTCTAGTTACAGTCTGTTTTACCTGTCTGTCACACCTGTCTGTTACACCTGTCTGTTACACCTGTCAATTATACCTATCTGTTATACCTGTCTCTAGTTACAGTCTGTTTTTACCTGTCTGTCACACCTGTCTGTTACACCTGTCAATTATACCTATCTGTTATACCTGTCTCTAGTTACAGTCTGTTTTTACCTGTCTGTCACACCTGTCTTTATACCTGTCTCTAGTTTAGTAGTTACAGTCTGTTTTACCTGTCTGTCACACCTGTATGTTATACCTGTCTCTAGTTACAGTCTGTTTTACCTGTGTGCCACACCTGTCTGTTAAACCTGTCTGTCGCCCCGTGACAGTGGCACATGAGTCCATCTTTATCGGAGTATGTAACATCAACTAGTATTGTAAGAGGTAGTTGTTTTAACATACATACATACATACATACATACATACTAACATACATACATACATACATACATACATACATACATACATACATACATACATACATACATACATACATACTAACATTTGTATAGCCCCGATATCCAGCTCAGCTCAGCTGCTCAAAGACACTTTGTTTTTCCCTCGTTCACTGGATGTCAATCTCAACGGCACATCGTATTGTCAATTTCAACTCCCTGGGGAGCATACAACTCTTGCAGCCACTAGGCGCACCGAGTTATTGTGGCATTCCCATCCTTACGAGGTACCCATTCACAGCTGGGTGGACTGGGACACATAGTCACAGTACTTTGTCCAAGTTTACTGCACGTTGTTGTACCCGCAACGGGTGTTTGCACGTATTCATGTGGCCACCATCTGGTCATATACCAACGGATTCGTGGGTTCTTTTAAGTGCACAGGGTTGTGTACTGTACACTAGGGGTTGTGACAACACTGAAGGAGTCTACACACAAAGTTGACTCCAAGGTTTTTACACCCGGTCACAGGTGGGCTCGATCCCGTCACCTCAAGCTCGCTGGATCACTAGCCTGGCGCTTTAGCCAGTTCGCCCACCGCGCCCCCAACAGTCTTTAATGTTGGTTAGTCCTACATACATCCACTGGTGACCCAAGTGATGGCATTAGTCCTGCTGGGGAAGTAGGAGCACTGAAAGTCTGCCTGATCCCCAGACAGGTGGTCTAACTTGGGCTGCCAGTGGTCTACAGCCAATTTCTGATTAATGCTAAGACTGGCTCCGAGATTTATGCTGTTTAAAAACTTTAAGGATCCATGATGAATTTTAATGAACCACATCAGTGTAGGCTTAAATAATAATTATATGTTGGAAATTAGATAGTAAGACAGCGGAAGGTTAAAAATGATTTATTGTTGTAATGTCTAAAGAGGACAACTTTAAGACTTGCTGCAAGGACACAAACAAACAAAGAAAACAAAACAAAAAAGTTCTTGAACTATTGCTGTTGTTGAAAGACAGTGAGTGAGATGTGCTGGGCTAATTACCTGCAATGACCTCTGCTGTCCTATTGCTGTTATGACCGTGAAGATCCGGGGTAGAATAGGTCTTCAGCAACCCATGTGCTTGCCATAAAAGGTGACTATGCTTGTTGTAAGAGGCGACTAACGGGATCGGGTGGTCAGTTTCGCTGACTTGGTTGACACATGTCATCGGTTCCCAATTGCGCAGATCGATGCTCATGCTGTTGATCACTGGATTGTCTGGTCCAGACTCGATTATTTACAGACCGCCGCCATATAGCTGGGATATTGCTGAGTGCGGCGTAAAACTAAACTCATTCACTCACTCACTATTGCTGTTGTTGAAAGACAGTGAGTGAGATGTGCCGGGGCTAATTACCTGCAATGACCTCTGCTGTCCTTTTGCTTTATTCGAGTTATTTCAATTCATTTGTCAGACACATTAATGGCAGATGAAGTAATCTCCGTCATCTCTGATCTCATTATGTCCGCCCACATCAACACCTGATGGACCGCTGGCAGTAATAGCCATGTTAATGTCAAACATGTCATCACCCTGTGATGGACAGACTGGCTTACAGATGACTGACTCTTGTACATACGTGGAAATATTCTTTTTTTGTTTGAATGTGCCGCTGTTGTGAAGGTAAACAGAGAAAGTGGGATTGACAGGAAATACATAAACTTGTAGCTTTATACTAATTATAGGGGGCGGTGGGGTAGCCTAATGGTTAAAGCGTTGGCTCGTCATGCCGAAGACCCGGGTTCGAATCCCCACATGGGTACAATGTGTGAAGCCCATTTTTGGTGTCCCCCGCCGTGATGTTGCTGGAATATTGCTAAAAGCTGCGTAAAACCAAACTCAGTCAGTCAGTCAGTCAGTTATACTAATTATAGACCAAGGCTTTTAAAGTGAGGATAGCATGTGTGACTCTATCAGGACTTGCACAACTCTGAAAACAAGGAGGTACTGATGTCAGTATGGACAAGTGATATTTTACTATGGTCTCTTTAAACTATGAAATATTATTGTTACCATAGGAGGCAAGTGGCAGCCAAACAGAAAATACAGGTCACAGAATGGTAATTTCTGTCACAGAATGGTAATTTATGTCACAGAATGGTAATTTAGGTCACAGAGTGGTAATTTATGTCACAGAATGGTAATTTGGGTTCGAGAATGGTAATTTGGGTCACAGAATGGTAATTTATGTCACAGAATGGTAATTTTGGTCACAGAATGGTAATTTCTGTCCACAATTTATGTCAATGGTAATTTAGGTCACAGAGTGGTAATTTATGTCACAGAATGGTAATTTGGGTTCGAGAATGGTAATTTGGGTCACAGAATGGTAATTTATGTCACAGAATGGTAATTTTGTCACAGAATGGTAATTTCTGTCACAGAATGGTAATTTAGGTCACAGAGTGGTAATTTAGGTCACAGAGTGGTAATTTAGGTCACAGAATGGTAATTTGGGTTCGAGATAGGTAATTTGGATCACAAATGCAGTGAAACAGGTAACTGGGAGTCTGAAGTCTTCCAGTCATCATGGTCATACTTGGAATTTCTCCAGCTTGCCGGATTATTCAACCATTAATGACTCATTTTTTGAAGTTTGCAATAGTTTACTGAACATGCTGAACATATACTGTTCTTCTGCAGTTTTGACATCATTTTGTTTTCTTATTATTGTTGTGGTAGTCAATTCTCTCACTTTTTATACTAATATTAGTAATAGCTATTTTATCTGTTGCAGGCTACTGAAGGTTTTGTTCAGCGGTTTCTATGGCCAACTCACTCCATGCTCCAGACGATGTGACTGATTCTGTCACATGATCATGAGCACCAATCAAAATGAAGGACACAAGGGAACCGGCAATGGCCTGGCCAATCACTTCGGCCTCAAGAGTGGGAAGGTGTCTCCTCTGGATGTGCGACCCGCAACTGGGGGGTCCCATGCCCGAATGTCGGCATGGGACCGTGCTCAACTGCAGTACGAAGAGCAGGAGAAACGAGCCAAACAGACGAAAGTCAAGCCATTTAGTGTCGAAGAGGATGTTGTCATCGGCGGCAGCGTCTGCTGCAACACACGCTCCATCATCAGAGTGTTCAGCTCGAAGAAGTTCAAGAACATTAAGCTGGAGAGACTGTATCAGCGTTATTTCTTCAAACTCAACCAAAATAACCTGACCGTTCTTATGGCTATATTCTGTGTCATAAGTCTCATGCTGTTGATTTTCTACTACATAGGGGGAGCCACGTTGCCAGCAAGGGGAGTAACTCTTGGGATCATCATGATTGTGCTGATAGTTCTGGAGGTGGTGTGCAATAGGACGTCCTGTAATGAACAGCAACTGTTCATTTTGTGTTACATTGTCATATTTTTGTTATGCGGAATTGTTTTGACTGTGACCCTCGACTGTGACCCTCGGGATGCATCGGAGGGAGTGTGGTGCACTATTTTCTTCATCTACATGGTTTATGCTTTAATGCCAATACGGATGAGACTTGCTGTTGCTAGCGGCCTGGGATTAGCCGTCATACATACAGTCTGTGCTGTTGGGATTAACTATGCACAGCCATACATGTGGAAGCAGGTGAGGAATCAGTTTCTGGTTGGTTGGTTGGTTGGATGGTTGGATGGTTGGTTGGATGGTTGGATGGTTGGTTGGATGGTTGGTTGGTTGGTTGGTTGGTTGGTTGGTTGGTTGGTTGGATGGTTGGTTGGTTGGTTGGTTGGTTGGTTGGATGGTTGGATGGTTGGTTGGTTGGATGGTTGGTTGGTTGGACAGATTGATGGACAGAGAAATGGACTGTTGATGGATGTTGGAAGGATGGATGGTTGGCATGGTAGAGGGATGATAGTTTGGTGGATGACAGGATGGACAGATGAAATACTGAATAGACAGTTGATGGATAGTTTGAATGGAAAATTGGATAGATTGAAGGATGAAAAGACATGATGGATAGTTCGATGGACAGGTGGATATTTGTTTTGAGTAGATGGATTTGATGGTTTTGGATGGTTGAGTAGATGGATTAACAGACTAATGGATGGGCATATAGATGGGTATGTTGATGAATGGACTGATGAATCAAGAGAGAAATTGATCTATGAATGGACAGATATGGATGGATGGAGAGGAATTCATGATCAAATAGATGGATGACAGATGGCTCAGTGGGCAGCTTGGCTGTTGGATGGACACATGATGGATGGGGCATGAACATGATGAAGGACGGATGAGATCAGTGTTTGATCAGTTTGATCTGCATGTGTGACAGATGTGTGATTAAGTGAAATGATATAAAAAACAACTATGACCACAGTTTCCATTGTAGTTGGTGCCATGGTTACATAACATTTTTCATTAACAATGATATTTTTGTCATCTATACCAATCAGAGTTTCATTTTCTAAAGAAAGGACAGGTGTTTGTTTTGGAAATTTTGTTGAAAATTTTGTAGGAAAAAAACTCTTGCTTCACTGATCTGAACAATCTCTGGAGTTGTTTTTTTGTTAACGAACAATTGACAAAAATACTTTATTGTTGTAGGTGAAAAGTGTAAGAATTGCAGTGTTATTCCTCCATTGAGATATGTTTGTGTTGTTGATCCCAAATCTGTGTTATAAAAAACAGAATCCTTGAGGTCATACAGACTATTGACAGCTCCGTTAGGATGGAGAGTGCTATATGTGGAAAGTTCATCCCCTTTCGTACCAGTTGTAATTCTCTGGCAGCCACTTGTAGGTGTCATCAGGGGTCCCTGTAGGCAATCTCCATCAGGAACAGACAGGGTGTTTATACTGCCTGAAATAAACTCATCAAAGACCCACATAGGTCGGGGAGGGTTAGTGGAGGAGGGTTAGGGAATTAGAATAATGCTATAATAAATCCATTATATGGTTTTCATCAAAGTTCTTTAAAAAGAAATTGGCAGAAGGATACGGTTCTACACACAAAAATCATACTGATATTTGCTGGCTTCTCAGTTTAGCATGTCTAGTGTTGGCTCATCTGTCATCAAGGAAAACACCTTGGTCCGGCCTATTTACCATCTTTACCATGGTAACAGGATATACAAGGAAAACCTTCAGTTGGTTATGAGAAAATATTGTCAAGCTTTCCTTGTTCCTTAATCTAATCTAACATATCTAGTTACAGGAGATTAAAATATATAAAATTGAAGACAGATTGCGTCTACAGCTGATTGTTTTCCCAGCTGTTTGTGTCAACAGCTGAATACACCTTGAGCTGATTGTGTTAACATCTGGATACACCTTCAGATGATTGTGTCAACATATGATTACACCTTCAGCTGATTGTGTCAACATCTAAATACACCTTCAGCTGATTGTGTCAACATCTGGATACACCTTCAGCTGTTTGTGTCAACATCTGGATACACCCTCAGCTGATTGTGTCAACATCTGAATACACCTTCAGCTGTTTGTGTCAACATCTGGATACACCCTCAGCTGATTGTGTCAACATCTGGATACACCCTCAGCTGATTGTGTCAACATCTGAATACACCTTCAGCTGATTGTGTCAACATCTGGATACACCTTCAGATGATTGTGTCAACATCTGGATACACCTTCAGCTGATTGTGTCAACATCTGGATACACTTTCAGCTGATTGTGTCAACATCTGAATACACCTTCAGCTGATTGTGTCAACATTTGGATACACCTTCAGCCGATTGTGTCAACATCTGATTGTGTCAACGTCTGGATACACCTTCAGCTGATTGTGTCAACATCTGGATACACCTTCAGCTGATTGTGTCAGCATCTGATTGTGTCAACATCTGAATACACCTTCAGCTGATTGGGTTAACATCTGAATACACCTTCAGCTGATTGTGTTAACATGTGATTACACCTTCAGTGGTTACTGGTCCCTGTACCTACGACTCCCTGCTGTAGTTGGTTGATGTAACCTTTAAAGAATAGTGGATGCACATAAATCAAATAATTGGACAATGTTGCGTAAGTTGTGATGTCTTTATTTTGTCCCCAGGCTGTCTCTAATGCTCTACTGTTCACGTGCGTCAACATCGCAGGTGTCTTCACTCATTACCCCACTGAGTATGCACAGAGACAGGCCTTCCTGGAGACACGGCGCTGCATCGAGGCCCGCCTCACAACACAGCGGGAAAACCAGCAACAGGTACTCTGAGGCTGGGGTGGGGGAAGGAAATGGGTGTCACCTTAATCACACCAACAGGTACTCTGAGGCTGGGGTGGGGGAAGGAAATGGGTGTCACCTTAAGCACACCAACAGGTACTCTGAGGCTGGGGTGGGGGAAGGAAATGGGTGTCACCTTAAGCACACCAACAGGTAGTCTGAGGCTGGGGTGGGGGAAGGAAATGGGTGTCACCTTAAGCACACCAACAGGCACTCTGAGGCTGGGGTGGGGAAGGAAATGGGTGTCACCTTAAGCACACCAACAGGCACTCTGAGGCTGGGGTGGGGAAGGAAATGGCTGTCACCTTAAGTACACACCAACAGGCACTCTGAGGCTGGGGTGGGGAAGGAAATGGGTGTCACCTTAAGTACACCAACAGGTACTCTGAGGCTGGGGTGGGGGAAGGAAATGGGTGTCACCTTAAGCACACCAACAGGCACTCTGAGGCTGGGGTGGGGGAAGGAAATGGCTGTCACCTTAAGTACACCAACAGGCACTCTGAGGCTGGGGTGGGGGAAGGAAATGGGTGTCACCTTAAGGACACCAACAGGTACTCTGAGGCTGGGGTGGGGGAAGGAAATGGGTGTCACCTTAAGTACACCAACAGGTACTCTGAGGCTGGGGTGGGGGAAGGAAATGGCTGTCACCTTAAGTACACCAACAGGCACTCTGAGGCTGGGGTGGGGGAAGGAAATGGGTGTCACCTTTATCACACCAACAGGTACTCTGAGGCTGGGGTGGGGGAAGGAAATGGGTGTCACCTTAATCACACCAACAGGTACTCTGAGGCTGGGGTGGGGGAAGGAAATGGGTGTCACCTTAAGCACACCAACAGGTACTCTGAGGCTGGGGTGGGGGAAGGAAATGGGTGTCACCTTAAGCACACCCATAGGTACTCTGAGGCTGGGGTGGGGAAGGAAATGGGTGTCACCTTAAGTACACCAACAGGTACTCTGAGGCTGGGGTGGGGAAGGAATGGGTGTCACCTTAAGTACACCAACAGGTACTCTGAGGCTGGGGTGGGGGAAGGAAATGGGTGTCACCTTTATCACACCAACAGGTACTCTGAGGCTGGGGTGGGGGAAGGAAATGGGTGTCACCTTAATCACACCAACAGGTACTCTGAGGCTGGGGTGGGGGAAGGAAATGGGTGTCACCTTAAGCACACCAACAGATACTCTGAGGCTGGGGTGGGGGAAGGAAATGGGTGTCACCTTAAGCACACCCATAGGTACTCTGAGGCTGGGGCGGGGGAAGGAAATGGCTGTCACCTTCAGTACAGATACACTGAGGTGGATTGTGTGGCCTCGTTGTTAAAGCATAATCTTGTCACAGTCAGTGTTTGATTCCACTAATGGGTACAACTTGTTAAGCCTCATTCTTGTGTGCCAAGTGTAACATGTTTGGATTTGGGATAACGATTTCATAGTAAAGTAAAACTGCTAATACCTTTTAGGCTAATTCCTATCCATGATTCGAACCCACTGTCTCAGTTTGAGGCGCCTAATCGCAGGAACACAAGGTCAGCGATCTAACCCAATCAACCATTGGCTGGTAGTCTGTCACATACTTTGTGCTCCAGTGTAAGTCTGACCAGTGTTTTCATCTCGGACGGTCAAATTTCAAAAGTAGCCTGTCCGGTGGCCTGGTAGGTATTTTTGCCCCTAACAGTAAATATTTCATAATATCAGACGGATTCGCTTGTCGTCAGTTTGAGGTGGTTACGGTATTATGATGATTATGTTAAACTACTTACGATTGGACAGTTCATGTTACGATAACCAATCACAAGTTCAGTTTACCTAAACTCAGTGCATTGCCTGTTAGTGCTATGTAGTTCCTTGTGATGCCTACAAACAGTAACCTGACTAACCCGATCTTGTTTGTATTCTATTGTTGAAAACCGGACAGGCAAGTTTGTATCCAGACTGGTAATTTTTTAAAGTTACCAGTCCGTCTGTCTAGCTTGGAATTTTGGGAGTTTTAAACACTGGTATAAGCTAGCACGCCTCCTATGTGTATTGGCCTGCCTGACTCTGAGACTATGGGTTCCAAACCTGAATGGGGCTCAACCTAACAAGTACAAGAATCATGTTGTAATATAAGATAGCAATTCAGATTAATGAAACTTGTCAGAGGAGGCAACTAAGGTTGATGGGTTGTCAGACTTTGTGGACCAGCATGGTGTCCCTGAGTTGTCTGTGAAGGTAAACATGTCGTGGGGACTTCACGCTGTGTTTTATGTTGTAGGAACGTTTACTGCTGTCTGTGTTGCCGCGTCATGTTGCCATGGAGATGAAGGCTGACATCGCAGGAAAGCCCAAAGACACCATGTTTCATAAGATCTACATTCAACGCCACGAGAATGTCAGGTATGAGCTGCACATCAAATTATCTGGATCATGTTGAGGAGGGACAGCCCAATTAGCACAATCTGCACTTTACATTGTCGTGACCTGGTACAGCTTGTTCAGCTTGATCTGAGCTACTCTACATATGCATGACCTGGGAGGTCAAATGGCACAAACGGCTGGTCGAGTTAACTTCATTAAATAAGGGAGCAAAGAATGTTGCGTGCATACATGGATTCGTTACAGCCCGAATCGGAAACATTAAACTATCTGTAGCTTCTTTTTTAAAGAAAGTTAGGACATTGCTGACGTTTTTTTGACACAGAAATGTCAAACAGTGACCTTGTCTCAGTTGTTCGGACATGTTGACAATCAACTGACAAAGGTGCACCCCTTGACAATAATAGACCGAACAAGTTGTGACAAGGTCACGTAATGAATTAGTATTCATTTGATCAGGTCAAGCTGAACAAGCTGTAGCTGTAGACAATTTCACCTTGCTGCTTGACTGTTCAAGTGTGTTATATTGCTGGAATATGCTAAAAGCGGCATAAAAACATCCTCACTCACTCAATTCCTTGAATTCAGCAGCAAAGTCTGTAGTCATGGTCATGTGTTCAAATCAAGGAATAAAAAGACTGGGTTGTGAAAAACATATTATTGAAGGGAATGTTTTGTAATTAAGGCATAAGGATAGATCAGCCATCAGTCGTACTCTCACACTGACACAGGAGTAGACTAACGCTTAGTATCTGAATATATGTAAGTTTTATAGTAACAAATAAACCCATTTAAATTGAAAAGGAGCCCCAGTGAGTGGGGAACCTTGGGAAATCTAGACTTTCTTCATTTAAGGCTTTAGCATTGCAGGGAGGGCTGGGAAAATAATGTGGTTCAGGGACTGGGAGACGTACTAACACAGGAGCTAAGGTGGAGACATAGAGTCCATGACCAGAAGCAACATATTCCCTGCCTAAAACAGTAAAAGAATTATGCACTCAAATATTGTTGTACTCTGTCAATACTCAATGTACTGAAAAACAGCCGTAACAGATTGTGTTTTGAAATCCTGCTTCAAATAATGCAGATTTTAAGAATATCAAAGTTCTTAACTGATATTTAGTAGCCGTATTTGAAAACAAACTACAGTGGATACCTGTGTGCAAGTGCATTCAAAACTTTATCTCAATAAATCTGGCATCAATCGTTGGCTGTTTTTCCATGGGTGCAGTCATGTTTGAACTAAGTGAGCCATGCAGATATAATCCTGTGGGTTTTTGTCCTGCTGGACAAGGGGTGATCAATACCAGGCAGGTGCTAGGATGGACAAACGAACGGCCGATGAACTGGTTAACCTCTAAAAGACAGACCTCCTATAAGACAGACTCAATGAGTACACTGATTAGCTGAGCTCAATGTTCATTTGGAAATGAGATAATTATGTTTATACACGGTCTTTGTGAATGATAATAACATGTGAGCACTGTCTGACACAGTTCTTGACGCAAGAATTTCCGAGAAAGCGTTTACTTATGAAGGGAAAATAAGTAAACACATATTTTAATCATCAAACAAAAGTGAATCTTTTTTCTTGACAGATATCGTGATTTGGCAATATTCAAAGTGAAACATCGATGTGTTGTTGCCCATTTGGAGTATCGTATCGGGATATACGACAATGTAAAACTTTGTATTGATTCACTGTATTGGCGGCCCATGGATCGATGTATCGATGCGTATCGATGAATCGTCACACCACTAGTGTTGATGCAATATGTTTTAATTTAAAAATCATAATTCATTACATGAATTGATAAAACTATAGTTAATACCTAGTGTTGTCTTTTTAATCTGGGCACATACCATTATCATCAAGGGTACAGCTTCATTAAGCCTTATGCAACCAACCATAAAATGTGTTGTTTTAAGCGGTCTGTCTTTTGGGAGGTCTGTCTTATGGGCGGTCTGTCTTATGGGATGTCTGTCTTTTGGGAGGTCTGTCTTGTGGGAGGTCTGTCTTTTGGGAGGTCTGTCTTATGGGAGGTCTGTCTTTTGGGAGGTCTGTCTTTTGGGAGGTCTGTCTTTGGGAGGTCTGTCTTTTGGGAGGTCTGTCTTTGGGAGATCTGTCTTTTGGGAGGTCTGTCTTTTGGGAGGTCTGTCTTTGGGAGGTCTGTCTTTTGGGAGGTCTGTCTTATGGGAGGTCTGTCTTTTGGGAGGTCTGTCTTTTGGGAGGTCTGTCTTATGGGAGGTCTGTCTTTTGGGAGGTCTGTCTTATGGGAGGTCTGTCTTTTGGGAGGTCGGTCTTATGGGAGGTCTGTCTTTTGGGAGGTCTGTCTTATGGGAGGTCTGTCTTATGGGAAGATACCGATGAACTTGGTCAGTGAGCGTCAGCTGGGAATAAGCTGTTAATCAACGTGTGAAATGAGGATGTGTACCATGACATCTTATTATTATTGTTATTATTTTATTGTTATTATAGTATATTTATATAGCACACACATCCACGTAACTTGTACATGCTCAAGGTGCTGGTATTTTTTCCCTCGATCATTGGATGTCAATATTAACGGCACATTGTATTATCAATCTCAACTCACAGGGGAGCATACAACTCTTGCAGCCACTAGGTGCCCCGAGTTATTGTGGCTTTCTCATCCTAACTATTTGTAGATTGTTTATCCCCTTAACGAGGTACCCATTCCCAGCTGGGTGGATTGGGACACATAGTCACAGTACTTTGTCCAAGTTTACTGCACGTTGCTGTACCCGCAACTAGGTGTTTGACGTATTCATGTGGCCACCATCTTTTCATTTACCAACGGATTCGTGGATTCTTATAAGTGCACAGGGGTGTCTACTAGTGGTGGTCCGATTAATTGAAATAATCGAAGATTGGTTGCAATGACAAAACGACCAAGCAGTCGATCATGTTTTCTCATAATCGAACACAATCAGTTTTGGAACACTTGTTTGCAATAACAATATTTTTCACAAGGTTGGTTTTGTCTGTTAGATTTCATTAGCACAACAAGCTCTTCCAATTCATGATTGAATTTATTTTAAAGACTCCAAGAATTTCATGTTCCTAACATGCTAGTCATCCTTTAAAGATGTGAAATTTGAAAATGCATTTTGTGCAATTTGCACAGAAAACGAAAGAACTACATGTTTTTTTCTTTATCATTTGTGCATTAACAAACATAACCAGGAAAATTTGATAAATGACGCTAACCAATTATTTTCGATGATTGATCGGTTGTAATGAACCAATCATCAATTATGAGATTTAAACCAATTCCCAACACTAGTGTGTACTGTACACTAGGGGTTGTGACAACACTGAAAGCGTCTGCACACAAAGTGGACTTCAAGGTTTTTACACCCTGTCACAAGTGGGCTGGATCCTGATGCCTCAAGCTCGCTGGATCACTAGCCTGGCGTCTTATCCAACTCACCCACCACGCCCCACATCTGGTCATATTGTACTGTCACAGAGGTGATACATGTACTTCATTCATTGTCGACTCAGCAGCTTTCATTCTGGTGTAAATGAGTGGAATAACTGACAGGTTTTGATTGAACTACTGGTACAAGCCTGGCTTTTGGCCTTAAACTTATAGCACTAACATCACTTTGTGTGTGGATTGTACTGATCTTCAGAGGTAGCATGTATTATTTGAGATAGTTAATGAATGTTCAACAGCTTGTTGTGCCAGGATCTGGTAGTGAGTTTGAATTTCATTTTGACACTGTTCAGTTATTTAACCATTATCTTGGAACAGGTTTTCTATTGTTAAATGTCTTACAGCTTTCCTCAAACTGGTGGTCAGGCTCGCTGACTTGGTTAACACCTGTCATTATTTCCAAATTGCATAGACTGATGCTCATGCTGTTGATCACTGGATTGTCTGGTCCAGGCTCGATTATTTATAGACTACTGCCATATAGCTGGAACATTGCTCAGTGCAGTGTTAAACAGCTCACTCACTCACTCACTCAAATGTAAAAAACAGTACTGCGCTTTAGAAAAACACATGTTTATGTACAGCCTGGGGAAATCTTCTTATTGTTGGGTGTTTCCTCGACTGTGGTGCGTCACAAGTGACGATAAAGTTGAATTATGATTGTTGTGTACACTCCTCAAGGTGATGTGCTATGGCTTTGAACTGAGAGCTGGCAGCCAGCCAGAAAATATCACCACTTCGCCTATGTCCTTCTAAGTGTTGAGTAATCATAAATATATTTTTATTTTTAACTATCAATTGTCCTTTGGTGCTACTTTCAACACCACCAATCCATAGTTATAGTTACTTACTGAAAACATGATTACACAGTGGAAGTTGTGGTGGCTGAGTGGTTTAGGCAGGTGACTTTGTGTGCTGGCGATTGTGCCTGACTCTGAAGGTGTGGGTTCGAATCCCGGATGGGACGCGACCCAAAAAAGTACTAGAATTTGCACTTTACTAAGAAAGTGTAATCCCAAATATAACATATGTTGCTGAAAACAGACTCAAAATATGTCATTTCTCTATTTCTATCTTTTCTTATCACAACTAGTAACAGATACTACTTTCAGTAAAACTAATCAATAGATTTCTGAAATATTCAAATGGAAGATTGCGTATCCCAAAACAGATCTGTTGCTGTAGGCATGTAATTCTTAATAATCTGTTCCCTCTAAGACAATCTTGTAAGGAAGTAATGAAAACACCACTGTTGCCATGGAAGCGACACTGTGATGGATTAGCTGTGGAAACCTGTTACAGCCTCTGTATAACAGGTGGCAGATATCACCTGAGCCAGTCTTTCTTCAAACTTTGTTGAGGGGCGGTAGGGTAGCCTAGTGGTTAAAGCGTTAATTCGTCACCTAAATACTATCCATACTATGTACACATCTGCTAACTCAACAACTATATTATGTACTATTTTGTACTGTAGGTCGTATGGTCTTGTATGCAAATATGTCCAAAGACATCAAGTGGGCATTACGTCTCCATTCAAAGTCTCTGTACATCCCCTGA